GAGATGAGGCCAGCGCCGCGCCAACGACCTGATATCTTCGGAAGCTCTCATTGATAAGTGTGCTATGGTAAATGCCTGGTGGACCTCAATGGTTTCTTCCCCAGATGTAGAAGCCAACTGGAGACTCAGTTGGGAAGCTTGAACTGCGTGCGCCCCATTAACCGTGCTAACTACGAGTGAGGTGTTTTGTCCTCCTGAATCATGTTCACGTGCAAAGTTCTTCACGAGTGTGGTATCCGATCCGTTGTCCAGAAATGCCACGGCTTGGACCAAACCACGCGGAGTCTCCACTTGGATGGGTGCTATTCCCAAGCGAACCGATCCACTTGACATCCGTCCAATAGCGCAAACAGATTTCGGTTTATCCTCCCGGTGCCTTTGTAATTTATATCGACCCGACCATTATCTGCTCGTTCGAACCTTTCATCGTTGTGTAATAAGGAGTGATGTCGACCATTGCAGTTATCTTGACATTTGGTTTGGTTTCGGCATAAGGCTGCTCTGTGGGTGTCAAGAAGCAAGACCCTGTCTTCTTAGCTACTGACCGGTCTGTAACCTTCATTGCCAAACATTCTGGGCAGGCCAAAATCTTATGAACACCTGAGCACATCTTGCACTTATTCAGCTTGTGTGGTTCGTATGAGGTCAGGTTGCTTTTCGCCCAAAAGTGTGGAGGGCGGGGACTCCCGAATCCAGATGGCAGCATCCCGCCCAAGTGAAAATTGTGGCAGCTTTATCTTTGTATGAAGATTATTCTTACGTGATTTGTTTGGCACAGTCTAGACCCAGACGGGTGTGATACACACGTATACATATACATACATATATATATATTTAGTTAACCGCGTTCAACTTTCATCCATCGTTCTTTGCTAGGACAATCGTGGCAGCAGTCGCGTAGTCCCCGTTGGAATGCACTCCTGTAGCCCTTACAAAGGCGACATCAGTGCACCCAAAATCTCAGTGTGGCACTTTTTCGCTTTTACCCCGACCGGACAGTCGACCAGCATTTTTCTATCCCCTAAAGGAAGAACGCTGGCATTAGGAATTTAATTTGTTCATCAAAAAAGGTGCGGACAATACCGCAGCCCCGACCCACTGCTTCATGCTTTTCTACCCATTAAACCGCGCTCCCAAAATTAGCGACTAAAACACGTAACTAACCAAACTGTACGCTCAAGACCCCCTGGTGTGGAAGAGGCATCACTGAATACTAATTAACGGTACGAGCTGTTCAAAAGTTAATTTAGGAAGAGTATATCCTACTAAGCTCTTTGAGGAATTCAAACCAAATAAAAGCTTTCAAAGGAAAATGTTATGTAAGTCAAACCTTGGTATTTGATCTGCACCGCACTAAAAGATATTCTCAACTTCAGTCAAATACTGACGCACACAAACAGAGTAGCAATTGGGGCACTTTAGTAAAACACTCGGAATCTCAAGGTCAAATGGATCCACGCGGACAGGAGAGAACACAGGACTTGCAGCTGAGCCAGAAGCAGTCCAGTTTCTTGAAGTCTTCAAGTAGTAATCGGGTTCGAGGCTTGCGCTCAATATTCCCGGTTCCGGATTTGTCTTCTTTTCGGCAGTTTGGTGCACGAGCTGAAAGGGATGTTGACGGGAATGGGAGCTGGCTCTGATATGGCGCCGCTGGGTTAAGGGTGCATGCATCGGGAAAAGAGCGACGATGTGAGAGGAGTGGTAACAGGGATAAGCGGGATAATGTGGGGATTTCCTGTAGCAGATGGAGGTCAAATAGATCAAGGGATGGTAAGCCCTAGGTGTGAGTCTAACAGGGTTTTGAAGACCCTTTTGAAGGATGTGTTCACAATCGTTAGTGGAAGTTGGTTCCATTCTGAGATGACCCTGTACGTGAAGAAGTTGGAGCGGATGAAGTTTCTGGGCCGGTGTTTGAAGAGTTTTCTTGGGTGTCCCCTTAAGTGTTCCAGGCTAGAGCGTGTGAAGAAACGGTCAACTTGGCCTGACGTGAAGAGGCCGTATAGAAGGAAAAGATCCCCTCTGATACGTCGTATATCTAGAGGGTATAGATTTAGCTGTTGTAGTCGGGTAGGATAAGGGATTTCTGACAAGCCATGTACTAGTTTTGTGGCCCTTTGCTGCACACGCTCTAGTGAGTCGCGGTCACGAATGAGACCAGAATGTGCAATTTGGCTGCCATATTCTAACAGTGGGTGTATGTATGTTCCATATAGGAAAGAAAAGTCCTCTTTGGTTATACGCGGGAAGGATCGCTTGATAAGGTTAAGAATACGAAAAGCGGTTTTACTGGCTTTGGGTTATGGGAAGAAAAGGAGAGGTTGCTATTCAGCCAGAAACCAAGAATTTTGTGCTGATCCACCAGTTGGATACGGGTTGAACCGTTTACCCAGAAAGGTTCACCAGGAGCGTTACCAATTAGCCAGAGAGCACCACGGTGCTGCAACCATTGTGTTCTTTCGATGGCGTAAACCCAGCGGCTTGACAGCTCGGAACTCATCCCAACTAAGGCAGCAGGGCCAGGTGGCATTCATCCTGCTATCCTGAGACCACTGGCTGACCACTTGGCTGAGCCACTTGCCAGACTACTCAATGCCTCCATCGCACAGAACAGGCTACCCACGAACTGGCTTTCGGTGACAGTCATCCCTATCCACAAAGGGTGAGAGCGTAAGTCGTGCTCAAACTGTCGCCCAGTCAGCCTGACATCGGTAGTGCTGAAAGTTGTGGAGAGTACTGCGCGCCAGGATCGCCAAAAACGTGGTGACCTTAGCCGCATTGATGGCTGATTAACACGGGTTCAGAAGGAGGAATTCATGCCTGTCAACACTCCTCTGTTTTCGTGATGAAGTAACCAAGAGGATCGACAGGAGGGCAGAAGTTGCGGTGTGCTACTTAGACTTCCAGAACGCCTTCGACTCCGTCGACCATAGACTATTGATGACGAAGTTCAAGGCTTTCGGGCTGCCTCTGGAACTGCTACAATGGATACGCAGCTGCTCGACCGGTTGGAGGCTTGTTGTGAAGATAGAAAATAGCATATCAAGCCAGGGTCCAGTGTTTAGTGGAGTCTCCTTGAACTCTGTCGTAAATAAACTAATTTTTCTGCTCTACATCAAAGACCTCAGCACCGAACTGGAAAACTGCTGCTACAAGTTTGCAGACGATGTGAAAATCGTTGGGAAGTCCGCGACAGAGTCGGTACAGACGGACCTTGACAAAATATGTGCGTGGTCAGTTAAATGAGACGTGCCTCTGAATACCCTGATTTGTCAACAGATGGTCAGACCTGGAGGCATGCAAGGTGGCAGTACACTGGAAACCCCGAACCGGTCGCAACAGACACTCACGGTAACCATAGTCAGAGACCTAGATGTTCTTGTTAGTGCGGACTTCATCATGGATTCCAGTACCGAGAGGCAGCAAAACGGGCATCACGAGCCTTACATCAACTATGACGTGCTCTAGGAAAACCGAAGGTTTGCTCCCTCTTCACAAGGCTTNTACTGCGTCCAGGCTTAGATCTCGTTTCTGATCCAGGACATGAAAACGCTAGTATGAGTTCGGCGTCGCTTCATCAAGTGGTTTGTGGGCTTGAGACATCTGTCTTACACGAGGTGTTTCGAAGCCTTAATTTTTTTCTCATTGAGCAGGCGTAGGTTCCGCCGGGACGTAATCGAGGCTTACGAAATCCCGGGAGGTTTTTGTAATGATTGTATTAGTAGTAGTAGTACGCACGAAATTCGGAAGCACTCGGAGATATCGGATGCCGAACTGGAAATTCCCGGGCTAGACATCATTCGACAGGATAGAACAGACAGCATAGGTGGATGGTGTGCCCTTCACATCAGTAGGAAGCGAAAGTCTGTGAGGATCACGGATTCTGTACCAAAAAGCGTACCGGAGAGCTTTTGAGCAATCATGAAACTGAATGGCCAAAGACAATGCCTAGTAGGCGTTCCCTATAGACCACCAAATTGCTTACAGTCGACGAACTATGCCATTGTCGACGCACTAAAGCACTTCATGAGATTGAACTATCACCACGTTCTGATAATGGGGGATTTCAAGTTACCGGAGATCTGCTTTAGTACGTTGAACTTCCAAGCGGGACTTGGTCCATAACCTCATTCTTCTTTGACACGGCGATAGACCTAGGGATGTAAAAGCACGTCCAACAAGCAACCCGGTGGCGAGGGAACTCGAGACCCTCTGCGCTGGATTGCGTTTTTACCAACGAACCCCACATGAGCGACTAGCTAGAGGTTTCTACACCACTGGGACTCGGCGACCATGGTGTCATACAATTCACATTCGTACACACCACGGAACTGATACGGTCGACAGGGTCCACTCGCTGGAACCTACATAAGGCAGACATTCTCAACATGCGAGCCTTGCTGGAGTCAGCCCCATGGCCCCTTATGCACATTGCAGGGCATCGTACAAACGACTATTCGTCTGGAGGTAGAACTTTACAGAGGGTCAGGAACGAAAGGGACCTAGGCACAGTCATTACCGATGATCTGTTCCAGCAAACTGCAACACACTGGTCCGGAGGGCAATGTTCAAACTCAAACAAATAAGCCGACTTCTAAGGAAATTCGTAGCAGAGTATTTCCCCAAGCTTTTTTCTAAGCTCATTAGGGCTCATATGGAGATCAACATCCAGGCGTGCCCGCCGCTGCTTAGGAGGGATGTCAACGTCATTGAGCGGGCACAGCGGAAAGCCACCAAGCGAGGAAAGAGTCTGTCAGGCACACTCTACCCGGACAGACTTCGTTCGTTCAACTTATACAGCATGGAGTATAAGAGAGCAAGGGGCGACCTGATCCTCCAGAAGGACACACTCAGCGTTCAGGAGCACCCTAACAGGCATCTGTTCACGATGGTCCCTTCGTCAGCACTGCGCGGTCACTCCATGAAACTGGAGAGGCAGTGCCCCAGACTGAGAGTCCGGGAACACTGTTTCTCGATACGTGTATGTCGCCCTTGGAACTCACTGCCAACGACAGTAGTCCAGGCTAAAAGTAAACAGTCGTTCAAAAAGCTACTTGACCAAAATATAGCCGAACAGTACCCTGGCGCTCCGTTCGACATATCGTTCCCAGCAATCGGAATGACCCCAACGTAGGACATCTGACCACCGGCCTTTGATTGCTGCGAATGTCGTACATTGTGTTTGTTTGCAGATAAGGTTACGTGGATGTGTGCACCCTTAAATTTTACTTTGTCCTCACTGATGCCAGAGCTGCAATCTGCGAGCAAGGCCGGAGATCGGACGGCTGGTCACTCGGTACGTAGCACGAAGGTCTACTCACCCAGGCCATTGAGAATACATTTTTTGTCCCTCATGGCCCGTAAAAAAGCCTATAACAATAAAAAAAGAAAAACCACCGGCTAGACAGTAATGCGAGGAACACTTAGGTCAGGTCAGGTCAGGTCACAGGACTTGTGGCTCAAGCCAATATGTGTGGTGCTTCGACTGCCTGTCAGTGCTGGCAGCAGGAAATGGTAGGTAGATAAGTAGACTATAATCAATGACCTTCGCCAACCCTTTGAC